AGGGAGTTGGCTCATGTGATCACAGAGCCATTGGCCAATATCCTTGACAACTCATGACAATCAGGAGAGTTCCTGGATGATTGGAAAAGGGCAAACATAGTACACATATTTAAGAAATGGATGAAGGCGGATCCAGGGAACTACAGACCATAGGCTCACATATTTCATAGACATCAGGACTGGAAGGAACCTCGTAAAATCATCAGGTCCAGCCCCCTGCCCAAGGGGCAGGAAGTCAGCTAGGGTCAAAGGATCCAAGCAAGATAAATGTCCAAATGTTTCTTGAAAGTGTCCAGAGTAGGTGCTTGCACCATCTCTGGGGGGAGTCTATTCCAGGCCTTGGGGGCTCGGATAGTAAACAAGTTTTTCCTTATGTCCAGCCTAAAATGGTCTTGCAAGAGTTTGTGACCACTGGACCTTGTCATCCCCTGGGTGCTCTGTTGAACAGGCGTTCCCCCAGATGCTAATGCACACCCTTTATGTACTTATAGACTACCACCAAGTCACCCCTGAGCCTATGCTTCTCCAGGCTGAAGATAGGTCGCAGCCTCTCTTCATAAGGCCTATTCTCTTGCCCTCTGATCATGCACGTGGCTCTCCTCCGGACTCTTTCAAGCTGTTCCACATCCTTCCTAAATTGTGGAGCCCAAAATTGGATGCAGTACTCCAGCTGCCGCCTCACCAAAGCCCAGTACAGCAGGAGGATGACATCCTGGGTTTTGCTTGAGGTGCATAGTAGATGCAAGCCAGAGTTTTGTTCGCTTTGGCAGCTGTAGCATCACACTGGTGGCTCATATTCATTTTTAGGTCAGTCATGACCCCCAAGTCTCTTTCGGTCATGGTGCTAGCAAGTGTAACATTGCTGAGCCTATAAGTGTGATACGGGTTTTTATTCCTGAGGTGGAACACCTTACATTTCTCCATACTGAATGCCATCAGGTTTTCATCCCCCCACCTTGCAAGCCTATTGAGGTCAGCCTGGATCACCAGCCTATCCTCAAGCATGGACACTCTTCCCCAAAGTTTGGTGTCATCAGCGAACTTGGCCAGTCCACTTTTGACACCACTGTCCAGATTGTTTAAGACAACATTTAAGAGTACAGGTCCAAGAACGGAGCCTTGGGAGACACCACTAGTTGCCAAGTGCCATGCTGATTCAGTTCCATCAGCTACCACTCTCTGGGTCCGACCTTGGAGCTAGTTCCCCAGTCATTGGACCGTGGAGTAGTCAAGGCCCACAGTTGCCCAACTTTTCCATGAGGACATCATGGGACACCAGGTCAAAGGATTTTTTAAAATCCAAATATATGACATCAACCTCTTTCCTTTTGTCCAGGTGATACATCACCTGGTCATAGAAGGAAACAAGATTGGTCAAGCAAGACCTACCCTCAACAAACCCATGCTGGCTATCCCTCACAATGTTGCCTTCTGTTAGCCAGTCAAGAGTGGTTTCTTTGATCATTTTTTCTAAAATCTTCCCAGGGATTGAGGTCAAACTGATTGGCCTGTAGTTTCCTGGGTCTTCTTTATTTTCTCCCTTTCTTAAAGATGGGCACCACATTGGCCCTCTTCCAATCTTCAGGTACTTCGCCTGAAATATCTCAAATATCCTCACCAGTGGCTGTGCTATGATGTCTGCCAGGTCTTTTACCACTCTTGGGTGTAATCTATCTGGGCCAGCTGATTTATGGGGGTCCAGCCTCTCAAGATGCTCCCTCACAAGATCCACACCAATGGTGGGCATATATTAATCTTCACCTTGGTCATTCCATATCATGTTTGGCAGGGTGGTCCCTTTGGGCTGGTGAAAAACCAACACAAGGTAATCATTAAGAAAACTGGCTTTTCTCTGGGTGTTGGTAGTCAGCTGCCCCAGCTGGTTTAGCAGGGGTCCAACATTGCCCTTGTTTTTCTTTTGACTCCCCAAATACCTGAAGGAGGACTTTTTATTGTCCTTGATTCGTGTAGCCAGATAGAGTTCAGTTGCAGCCTCGCCTTTTCTAGTTCGCTCCCTGCTGGTGCGGAACAGTGCAGTATATTCCTCCTTAGCAGTGTTTCCTGTCTTCCACCCGTTACACTCCTCTCTTTTTAAACGTTGGAGGTCCAGGAGTGGCCTGTTCAGCCAAGGGAGTTGTTGAGCCCTTTTATCACCTTTCCTATGGGTGGGGATGGACTCCCCCTGTGCTTCTAGGATCACTTCCATCATGAACTCCCCTCCCTGTGAAATCATGGCCTCTTAGGGCCTCAAGAACAAGCCTCCTTAGCTTTTAAAAGTCAGCTTTCCTAAAGTCAAGGACTACTGCATTGCTGGCTGACTTGCCAGCTGTGCAATGGATAGTGAAAGTGAACAACTCGTGGTCACTGTCACCCAGCTTCCCTTTAATGTAAGGAAGCTTTGTGACAGATTGGATTTGGCCGAGTCCTCTTCCCATGAGGTGTGTGGGTAGTTGAAGTCTCCCATGACGACCACGCACCGAGAGCATGCAGCCTCAGCCAGTCCCCTGGCAAATTCTTGGTCAAGCACTTGTTCCTGGTTTGGAGGTCTATAGTAGACTCCTACCATTGTATCCCCTTCACTACAGTCCCCTCCTATTCTAACTCAAAGGGTCTCCAGACCAGTCAGCCTTACCTCAGTCCCTGGGAAAATCATGGACAAGATCCCCAAGGAACCCATTTCTAAGCACTTGGAGGAGAAAAAGGTGATTAGAAACAGTCAGCAAGGATTCACCAGGGGCAAATCACGCCTGACCAACCTGATTGCCTTCTATGACAAGGTGACGGGCTCTGTGGATGCAGAGAGACCGGTGGACGTGGTGTACTTTGATTTAACTAAGTTTTTGATACTGTCTCCCACAGCATTCTCATAGGCAAGCTAAAGAAGTACGAGGTGGATGAATGGACCATAAGGTGGACAGAAAACTGGCTGGAGCATCAGGCTCAGAAAACAGTAATCAATGGCTTGATGTCTAGGTTGGCAGCCTGTGTCAAGTGGACTGCCCCACAGGTCAGTCCTGGGACTGGTTTTATTCATTGTTTTCATCAACGACCTAGAATATGGTACAGAGTGCACCCTCAGCAAGTTTGCAGATGACACCAAGCTGTGGGGAGTAATAGATAGGTTGGAGGGTAGTGCTAGGATTCAGAGTGACCTAGGCAAGTTGAAGGACTGGGCCAAAAGGAATCCCATGAGGTTCAAAGGCTAGTGCAAAGTCCTGCACTTAGCACAGAACAACCCCATGCAGTACTGCCTGGGGACTGACTAGCTGGGTAACAGCTCTGCAGGAAAGGACCTGGGGGTTACAGTGGACAATAAGCTGAATATGAGTTAGCAGTGTCCCCTTGTTGCCAAGAAGGCTGACAGCATACACGGCTGCATTGGTAGGTGTGTTGCCAGTAATTCAAGGGAAGTGATTATTCCCCTCTATTCAGCACTGGTGAGGCCACATCTGAAGTACTGTGTTCAGTTTTGAGCCTCCCACTACAGAAAGTATGTGGACAAATTGCAGAGAGTCCAGTGGAGGGTTACAAAAATGATGAGGGGACTGAGGGACATGACTTGAGGAAAGATTGAGGCAATTGGGCTTATTTAGTCTAGAGAAGAGAAGACAGAGAGGACTTAATAGCAGCCTTCAACTACCTGAAGGGGGGTTCGAAAGAGAATGGAGTTGAACTGTTCCCAGTGGTGGTAGATGACAGAATAAGGAACAATGGTCTCAAGGTGCAACAAGGGAAGTTTAGGTTAGATATTAGGAAGAATTTTCTCACTAGGAGGGTAGTAAAACAGTGGAACAGGCTACCCAGAGAGGTAGTGGAACCTCCATCTTTGGAGGTTTTCAAAATCTGACTAGACAAAGCCTTGGCTGGGATGAGCTAGTTGAGGATGGTCCTGCTCTGAGCAGGGGGTTGGACTAGATGGACTCCTGAGGTACCTTCCAGCCCTAACTTTCTATGATTATTTGCAAAGTGGAACTGCCAGCCTTGCAACATCAAATAGGGCTAAAAGGCATGTGGAACTGCTCTGCCTTGACAGGAATTTTATAAATGTACCACACTGCACAAAAGCCAGTTAGTTCATACCATACCCATACAAAAAGCGTAAGTGAAGTGTGCACGTTACCATCAGTTCTGTCCATGATCTCAATGCTACATGCTCTCTGTTCTCACACACTTACTCCCATATGAGTTCCTCCCCTCAACCTCAAGCTCTGCTTCTCCTTGTAGGAGAGAGAAAGTGCATCCATTTCATATCATACTAAATTAAAACACAAAAGGTATCCAACAGCCACTGGATTTGTTTTTTCCACTCCTGTCACTATTTTATCCAGCATTAGATCTAATTGACATCCTTTGCTACTGTAGGATTTTATTTTGTCAAAGTATCCTACTTGGCTTAAAAGCAATTGACCAAATACCTACCAGTTCAGTGAAAAAAGTTTTTGAATGTGGGTGTCTACACTTAAGCACCCAACTCTAAGTCTGATCAAAGACCCAAAGTTATAGCATTTTTTTTCATTCTTGCTAAAAAAGGCCTGATTTTCAAAGGCTGTAACCGATATACCTCCCATCCTGACGTAAGAGGGAACTGTGAGTATTAAGCACCTCTGAAAACTCAAAGTCACTCCAGCTCTTGCTTTCTTAACTTTAGGGTTTCAAGTTTGAAAGTACTAGCCTATTTTATTATTTGTATGTGAGGATCAAAGCTACTTTCTACCGTAACTTATTATGAGCCCAGGAAATTTTCAAAAACAATTGTATATAGCACTTAAAAAAAAAAAAAAAAAAACAGTATTAAAAATAATTTGCAAGAATTCTCAGTATTTTCTCACTGTTCAGAGACTTAGACCACTGAAACATCATGAATGCAGTTCTCTAAATTAGTACCAGCCAATCAAGCTAAGAAGTCTTTGGCATTCATTTCCAAACAAAGCATAAACCTAACAGACGCTTTAGCAGATTTTAAGTTTCATGTTTTATCAGAAATCATAATTAATACTTACGTGTTTGTTTCTATACTGAGAAAATTGAGAGAGGCCAAAAATTGTTGCTATGGCACCTCCTCCAATGAGAACAGTTCCTTTTACTGCCTTTCGAAATGCCATTTTTTAGTTCTACAAATGAGAGAGAGAGAGAGAGACAGAGAGAGAGAGAGATTAATACACAGTTCTAATATGCTTGAATCCAGACTGCCTAGAACAGAACACTCATTTAAACTGGAGGTGATGTTGTGGCAGACAGCATTAGGATAACAATATACTAATGTTACAACCATACCAATTCCCTAATAAGTACAAAAATAACATACAGAGAGACTAAAGCAAAAATCCCTTGGAAGAGTGTATGTTATTAGCAGGGGCGTGGGAGGGTAGAGAGGGGAGGAGAAAGGAAAAATATTTCAGACTCCTTAAATCTGCTTACATAGTACCTTTGTGAACTACAGATGAGCATGTATGTGTACAGAAGCAACTACTTTTACCACAGCAGTGTAAGCACAACTCAAACTTCCAATCATCCATGACTGCCAGGCAAGATCCAGCACAAAGCTGGTCACCAAGTGCCCTCTGCAAGAAGACACCAACTAGCCTGAAAAGATACCTCCTACCTACTGTCTCTCATCATCATCCAGATCATTCTTACAATCCCATTGCCCAAGACTAGAGACCTATCTCCCAATTCAAGAATGACAGACTGCTACATCTTACACACAAAATTTCAAAATTTACTTTAAACCTCACAAACTCCAATTCTGGCCTCTTAAACTGTGTATATGGTATCACTCCTGGTAATGTACAACCTTCCTATCAAGCATCTGTAGAAATAATGCCAAGCAACAATTAAAATTTGATTTGGATAGCCCAATAAATAGGAGAGATGAGTAAAAATAAAGTATATTTCAGTATACACTTAATTATTTATCTCTTCTCTAACTTATGCTAGATGAAAACATTTTAGCTCTCCAGTATGTAAAAAAAGACATCACACAGATGTTTTAAATACCTGGTGAATAAGGTCATGCCTTACCAAAACACGAGCATTCTTGATTTAATTAAATCATTGTGCTAAATTGCTAACTGAGACCCATAAAATAAAAAAACATTTTTAACACATTGTGGTCTTCCTCTGTGTTCTAATGCTAAGTGTCACTTAAATATTTACAGTACAGTTCTGGAATCTGCAAAAATATCTATTTTCTCAACGCTATGACGAACACTAATGGGGGAAAAAAAATCTAATTTCCAAGTTTACAAATGAAGAATTAAATTATGTGCCTGATATCTACAAGGTAGGGCTACATGAATGAAAGCCTCAGGAGTTGAGAAGAAAGATATTGAAGATTCAGATTCAGACTCTCTAAGTTTTTTGGTTTTATGAAAAAGAAAGATTCTCTCCCTGAAATGTCTCTTACTGAATGCAAGAGCTAATTTACTAATTCCACCGGTCAAATTACTTGCAGTCCACTTTTTGTCCTACCCCAGTAGCAATACACATTTTACATTATTTTATTTACTTTGAACAACAATAAAAGAAATAGCCTTGTTAACATTCTACAGATATTTCATTTTACCTCTTTCTCCCATGTTTAGCTACATAACACAGTCCCTGAGGAATTTTCTGAAAGTGCTCTTGCTAGGGTTAAAACTATTCCCTCTTGAGAGTACTGCTCAGAACTTCATCCCTAATAACCAGATATTCCAATCTGGCCTTGATTGTCATAAAGTCTTACATCTTTATTCAGTTCCAGACATACTACTATAGAGCACACCTTCACCTCTGCTTTATCTTAAGCTATATACACTTGAATAACTCAAGTCAGATTAACTCAAGAAAAGTGAGACTTGCCACATTGCAAAGCATTACAAACAGCTGTGTCTGCACAGTAGGGCTGTTGGAAGCTTCGGTCCCTGATTTAATTTGGCAGAGATTCAGCCCAATTCGGTGGCCAAATCTCCGAATCCAAGTAAAATCAGGAGACCCTTTAATCTCTCCAAATTGAATCGGAACCCTCTGAATCGATTTGGAGAGATCTGGATATAGACACAGCTTTAAATGTTTTTTCTACATACCTCGAGGTACCAGTGCAGCTTGTGAACACTGTGATGCTGGGGCAGATAGAGGGTCCCACAGAAGCATGGAGGGCTCCCCGGCGTGCTCAGTAGCAGACCTGGAAATGGATCAGAAGCATTTCCAGTCCACTTCTGGGTCCGCCAAGGAGCACACAGGGGAGCCCCCCACACCTCCCCCAGCCTGGCAGCTGGTGCCTCCTGGGTCTTGCAGGGGGACCTGGGGTCCCCTTGCAGCCAATCGCCGAGGCAGGGGAGTTCGGGAGGGGAGAGGGGGCCTGCACACTCCCCAGCAGACCCGGAAGTGGACCGGAAGTACTTCCACTCCACTTCTGGGTTTGCCGTGGAGCACACAGGGCCCCCCTGTGCTCCTGTGGGACACTCCATCCACCTCAGCACCACAGTGTTCATGCCTGGTACCTCAAGGTATGTAGAAAAAGTATTTAAAGATGTGTCTATGGCCAAATCATTGATTCTCCAAATCAGCACCAAATCTTCAGATTTGGCCAAATCGAATTGGGGACAGTGATCTGAATCAACAAATCAAATCACTGTCCCCGATTTGGCCCGAATCCATATCAAATATGGCTCACTTCGCACACCCCTGCCACATAGCCTGCACACTCATGTGTGGCACTATGACTTCTTGGGTTATATCTCATGGTTTTTTACACTAAAGCAAGCATAGCAATTCTAAGATTTCTATTAGTGAACTGCAGGAGAACCTGTCCAACTTACATTAGGTACATGGGGGAAAAAATAAGTGTAGGAAGACAGGAGAAATAAGAGCATTCACATGGAGCTAGCCTGCATTCATTGCATAGGCCATATGAGTGCAACTCCTCAGCTGTTAACTGAAGCTATAGCCAATAACACCCAACAGACTAGCTCTTTTTAAAAAGGACCATTACCCACACACAAAATACTTATGCTCAGGAAATGCTCGAGATTTAATTCAGGTTAACTTTGCCATGAAGAGGAACCTATGGATCCAATAAGGATGACATCAGTAGCAGTATGCACCCGTGCCAAAGCAACAGGTCTGTGGCATGCAACACATTGTGTCAAATGGATTCAGTGGTTTTCAACACTATCTACACACTAGAAGAATTAAAACAAAGAGGCAGGGAGCATAACCCTGCCTGACAAGTTTATTACCTCATCTGAACAGATGCTGCCACTATGGTTTATGAATGAGCTGCGTGACGTACTTGTACACACACAAGAAGAAAAGTAAATAACTGAATCAATCTGTGTCCAAACACATGCTAAGACATGTGCCTTCACTTGACAGATTTAGAATTTTCTGAGCCACAGCCTAGAAATGTCTTCTCTCTCCAACATGTATAGACAAATAACAGGTTTGCTTTAAACGCTTCCATCATGACTAATGTTGCAAGTCTTTCTTAATGCACCTATTCACCTAATCTACACGTGCTTCCTGGATACAGTGGTCAGGAAAAGAAGAACCCCATCCTTCTGTTTCACCACAGCCAGGAACGAGGCTGCAGGAAGCAGTAAGAGAAACATCCCAGACTCTGGATAGAGGGAAAGACGTTCTGTCCCAAAGATCAGATAGGGAGTAAGAGAATCTAGGTGAATGTAGCTGCCAGGCAATCCTAAAGAAATCTTGCACTCAATAACCTTAAAGGTTGGGCTGCAATTTGAATAAAACCACCCCATGGTTGTTCATATTAAATAAAATAGTAGACACTGAAGTCCTTACTTGAGTATTTATTAAAATGCAACTCCTTCTCCCTATAATGGACACCATTCAGGATTTACTGTTTATAGCAATCTGACTGGAGTCAGTGAGAATATCAGTTATAGATCACCGATGCACTGACTCCCTTGTAATGTTTCACTTACATTTTGAAAGCCACTAAAGTCATTTAAAATAAGCATAGAAGTCAGAGAATGACAAAAAATCAACATAAAAAGTTCAACTGAACAAAATTTAAGATCTGAAGTTTAAAAAAACTGAATGGAACTAGCTAGCAGGCTCTTTTAAAAATCCCTAAACATAAAAAAAAAAAAAAAGTTTATGAGAATTCAACTGCAATTCATGTACTTCTATATTTACACAAAACTTACAGCAGTGAACACCTACACATTATCCAAGCTTCCTCAATCACTTGAATAATAATTAAGTATTCAGATTGAAAACTGGTAACCCCATGCTAATCTGGAAACAAATTTCACATATCTTATGCACCAGGGATAAAATCACCTTACATAATACAATGAATTTCTAACTTTTAAATGCTTGTTCTAGAAACACAATATGCTCTAGAATCTGAGTGAATTTAAAAAAAAACAACACCAAAAGAACAAATTAATATCTTTCACAAGAGAGCTGGGTTACATTATCCAAAAATGAATTGGCCTCATAGAAAACAATAGAAACAATATAAGGATGTGGTTCCATGGTTTACATTTATACAAATTAATATTTAAAAAAATTAAAAAGGTTCCAAGTTTATATATCTATTTGTCTGACAAATCATCTGAACACACACTCAGCATTCCCTGGTGTAAAAAAACCCAAAACCTTAGAATTAAGCCATCAGATTTTAATAATTTCAACTATGAAAATAATGGCTTAGATGCAGTCTTTCTACAGTAAACACCCTACTAGTCCATAAGTAAACTATATAGAGTTCAGACAGCATTCTTTTTTAAAACTCAAATTTTTGAGAGAACAAAATATGATTTAAAATTAAACTGAGTTTAATTAGTTTATAATTGTATGTTGAAGGTGGGTCTCTCCTAAGAAGGCAATATGCATATTAAGTAAATATGCCACTAAGCAAGATTACTTTGAAACAAAGATTGTGCACATACTTGTAATGACATAATAAGCAGCATTCCCATTTCAATGGGATTGAAGACAGGGAAGTTTAAACTGAATCACTTATAGAGCTCAATTCCCATTTCACACACACATCTGCGTGCTAGTCTGTTTGGAAAAAAAAGAAAGTAGTTTCCACGGCAACTTGCCTATCATGTTATTCTTCTACTGTTCTAAACTGGAAAACTATGCTTTTAAC